TTCGCCCTAATACATAACGGAGAAATTCATCCTCACCCATCTCTATCCCAAATCATTGCTACGTGCAAAAAAGAAAGCGTCAACCAGCTACTGTGCCATTAGATGAACTGTTATAGATTGGACCACCCACGTCGTCCCAGGAGCCAAATTTTAGGCTACCATAATCCTTTTTTTGCTCATTCGTCTGTTAACGCAGCCTTGCGTGCGGTTGGTTGGCAGGTCTCCTTTATTGTTATTGTTTTGTTGCGCGTCGTTTTCGTTGTGTGAATTAGTGTTTTTAGAAGTTTGTAGTAATGAGTAAATGTACAAAGGTGAATGAGAAGATACTTTAGAAAATATTTTAACTGATGTCAAATATTTTGCACTAATTCTCGTCTTCCTGATTAATTTTATAGAAGTTGGATTATGCTTATCACTGGATGTATTATTGGTGTTGATTTGAATTGAGAATTTTAAGTGAATGGTTGAATTGGAAGTAGTAATTAGCAACATAATTAGAGTTTATATTCTTAAACAACTTTTTTTCATCTAATTCTATTTTAGCTAATTTTTTGCACGCAAACCTATTTCGAGCAACTGCTTAGAGACAAAGTTTTGATTACTTTTTAATTATCTTTTTCACAAAGGATCACTTTAAGAAACTATTGGGAAGAGAATTTTCAATTGCTTTCCCAGGTAGCTTTTTCACGTGGACCTGTTTTACGCAACTGTTTTGATATGCAACTATGTTTTTTAGGTCACTTTTGTACGCAAAGTTCCGGTTGCTTTTTCAGATCACTTTCTGACATGAACCCATTTCACGCAACTTTTAGCATGCATTTCTGTTTTTAGGTTACTTTTGTAGACAAACGTTCGGTTGCATCTTCAGGATACTTTTGTACGTAAACCTGTTTTATGCAACTGCTAGCATCCAATTCTGTCACTAGGGTAATGTTTGCAGATAAACAACCGGTTGCTTTTTTTAGGTAACCTGAGTTGTCGACCAATCTGGAATTGAAGAATTTTCTAGAAGCGCATCATCTTGTGAGTATATGCAAATTTGTAAATGTTCTGGCGCAACTTTTTCCAAGTGAAATTATTGATTGCTTTCTCGTTTGCTGTGGTCGGTTGCTCTTGACTGTTTGTGGTGGATTACTTTTGGTTGTTCTGAATTTCTTGAGTGTGGTGCAGCATGGATTCTGATGTTAGAAGGAATTGAGTGCAGGGTTGGAAAGTTGCACGATTTTAGATTAGAAGCCCTTCCTATAACTGTTTACAATTTCAGTAATTCTCCAGCAATATGTACACGGAAATCAAGGAACTGGTGAACTTCTTGGCTGTTTACATGCATTATCGCATTCCAAGACGTCGGGTAAATATCCTTCCATCCATCACGAAATTCACAATTTTTATAAGGTTTTATAGTTCAGAAGAAAGTCGAATATTTTGAAATATCAGCAAATAATAATAAATAATCTTTTTTATTTTAGATCACCTTGTACATGGAAAGTTTTGGCAATCATTTAATAACAAAATTTCATGATAATTGGCGTCCTGGTGAACCGAAATATGGTAATAAATGCATCAGCAAATTCTTAATTATAAATATTATTACTAAGCCTATCGTTTAAAGGAAAAAAGAATTAACTAAATGCATTAAATTCGAATTAGCGAAATTTTAACAGAGTGTGAACAATTTAAACGATCTCACAAATTAATAGTAACAAATTTTTAAGTAAAATTAGCAAAAATCTCTTAAACATTTTTCAGTACTCGATTACAGATTAATGTGATGAAAAGAATTTATTTTGAAACATTTAAAATATCTTTTCATTCCTTTCAATAACTAATTACAGCTGAAAATGAACGTATCGTGCCGATTAAATCAAATGAAAGTTTGGATGAAACATTCTGTGCTATTGCAGAAAGTAATGGCGTCTGTACGACTGATCTTAACGCATGCTTTCCATGTTTGTATATTATCCGAATTTTATTTCTTAAAATTTCATCACATCTATATTTTAGATAAATTTATATTTTGTAAAACATTGCTTCAGCAAGCGTTGTCGCCTACTGTAACCCTGGTGAAGTAACTTGCCGCATTTCGGACCAGCCACTCGTTGTGATTGTTTGGCGTGGTGATGTGGACATAGACAGAAGCTATGTTCCAACTCCTATCGGTGCAGCAAAATATTACGATGGAAAATTTAGCAATATTCAAAATACTGTCCTAAACGCTTATGCAGCGAACGGGCCATTGGGTAAGTTTATCTGATAATTGATAACATTCTTGTGAACTTTTCCATGATTTAATCATAAATCTTAAACAGAATCGATTATCTCTAATCCTATCACAGGACGTGGGAAATTTTTACTTGTTCAGTTAAAATTTTCCACGTTTGGTTTATATTTGACCTAAAATACATCGCAAAATATGCAAATTATGCTCGCTGCGTTTACCGTAATAATGAAATTTTGCTTCCTGCATCTTATGAGAATAGAAGATACGGATTTTGAAGTAAGGCTATTAACTGAAAGTCTTTATAATCTTAAGAATTCTTATTTGAACTTGCAGCTCGTCCAAACACTTCTACGAATAGCAAGGAAGTTAGACCGGAACGTTGCATTCAACTTGTTCTGGTTAGCTCAGCTGATACCGCTTACGAACTGCTTCTTGCTGGTTTGATCAACGACATAAGCGATGTATAATTTTTATAGTAAATAATTTAAATGTAAATTTATATATAATAATGTAACATTCTGAAATCATAACAGATTCCGCCGATTCTATTTTGCTACAAAGGACCGAATGCTAAGCGCCATAGAGTACAATCGTTTGCTATTACATGTTTTGGTACACAGCGTGCCCGACGTCAATTTAAGGATTCTACAGCATATCGCGCAATAAAACACAAAAATGCACTGAATGCAGCTGCTTCTGCGGCGTTCTTCGGTAGATTATTGTGATAAATTACTGAAGAAATTTTACAGGAAAAACAATTAATACATTCTTGTGCAAAATATAAAGTGTTTTGCTTAATATTTCAAACTTACAAATTATAAAATTTTATTTGTCATTTCTTAAAGTGATTTGTAAAAAGTCTCGATCATTTTGGATTCATTCTCTAAATTACGCACTGATTTATTTGAAAATTTCAGGCAATTTCCCAATGCATTATTTTGATCTTGGTGCGGAAGGTGACAATGGTGAGTGTAAGGACTGCAAAGATTTATGTCCACTTTTGTTACTCATTAAATGAAACTATTGCAAAAATTTGACATAGCGACATACTAAATGTAGTGATAATTTCCACAAACTACAAGTTATATGTTATTAGGGATAGTAATATTGATCGTTTTTTTTAGATATTTAAACATACGATATGGATTTGAGAAGACTGAAAAGTACATATGAATTAAAAACTAAAATCAACTAATTGGAACTCTTTCCAGACTGTATTTTAATACTTTTTAGCTGGAAGTCTAATGCTTCATAACTCGAAGCCTTATATTTCATGATTGAAAACCTTACACTTCATGACCGGAAACCTTATAATTCGAAACTACTTTATTTAATAACTAGAACCCTTATATGTTGTATACACAAATCTTGTAGTTCGTTATTATAACGCTATATTTCGTAACTGAAACCGTATGCTTTCTACTTCGAATCCTTGTTATATCTCGTAACCAAAAGTCTTATAGCTGCTGAAATTCCACCGTCTCTGTACTTGGCATCTAGAAATTGTAAAATCTATAACTGAAGATCTTGTACTTCGTAACTGAAAGCTGTTTACTTCATAAACTTAAATCCTTTCAACACGTATATCGTCTCTATGGCAGTGGAATATTTTCAGCCAATGTACCTGCTATGAGTAATCAGTACACCGTTACGGTACCCTATATGCCACCAACTTTTCCAAACACAGTTAGCACCAACAATCCAATGGTATATTTCAGTGTTTTAACTTACTCGTGCCTTAACTTACTCGTATGTCTTATCAATATATTATCTGTCTTGTGGGAAGATAATGGAGGTGAAAATACGAACGCGATTATTTTTGCACTTTGCTTTCAGAGTTTAGAAACATTTTTTTCAGCACTCATTAGCAGATTCCTCTCTGGTTTACGCTAGATCAAATCATTCAAATTCAGTTTTTGGCATTCCTAATAACTCAGCAATGCCCATCTATCCAAATTACTGGCTTAATTCTTCGGATCACTCTGCTGATAATTTTCCACCGGCATCAACAAATAACTCACGAGGTTGTTCTATGCGATGTACCTGTGACATTGAAGACATTGGCGCTCAATCGGTTCAGGTTATTTCAAGAATTCAATAATATATTTTTTTATAAAATTGGAAAAGATTGTTTCTAAAGGAAAGGATCTATTCTATGGGCAGTTTACTATTAAGACATTAAGTTAGAAAATTACAAGTTAAAATGGCACTTTATTAACTTTCCGGAAAGTTCTTTTCTTATGTGTGCATTTATTTCAATTGAAACTGATTTTATAGCGTGGTAATAATGGTGGATTTCCAACGTGCGACCAATCCCGCGGGAATGAATGCAACTGGTGCTTTACACCTTTCGCAAACGATAGTGCATTTAAAGAGGGTACGAAACTTTAAAATAAAATAGGAAAACAATATAAAAATTTAAGAAAAGAGCATGAAACAAAACTCTTAAAATTCTTGAAGAATTCAAATTTTGCTATAGTTACTTGTAGTAAGAAAAAAAGAAATTTCCTAATAGTAGTCAACACAAACGATGTTTATTTCTTATTTTCTCCAAGCTGTGTTTGTTTCTTTTCGTAGATTAGCTTGTATAAATTTGAAGAAATGATATGAGGACTTCCTTTGCTATTTATATTACACCTATAAAGCTAAATAAATTGATATGATTCCTTCTACAATTACAGAATATGACATCTGGCGACCTATGCCAACTTTCACCATGAATAACGGCAACTTGGTTGAACCCGTTTACACGAACAACTATGTCGTCAATACGCCGATTCCCTCAGCTCCAATGGCTAATCCGGACGTTAATGAAGCTCATGCAACACAATCATTCCAAAATGTAAATTTACACCTTATAATTTTGTTTATTAGATGATTGACTTTTTCATTGCTCAAAAACAAACAGAATTAGATTAGCCTGAGACAAATACCAAGTTGTTCTATTAATCACGAATTATACTTTGTAACTGTATATGTATTCTCATGAAATGAAATCTGATTGCCATCGGAAACACAACCACTGACTTAACCGATCATTACAAATAGTTTAATAAGAGCTTCGTGATCATTTCTTTTTAGGATCCATATTTGATTATTTCCAAAATGTTTAAACCGAAATTTCATGACTCTGAATTAATTTGTTCCACATGATTTTTTACTCTCATTGTTTTCGCATTTACAGTCATACGACTCGAATATGAATGATCTGCAGCACAGCATGAGAAACCTATCGTTCAAGGAATCAAAGCCATCGACATCGAGATTGCCACAAGTGTTTCTAGCACGAATATCGCCACCGCGAGTATATTCGCCACAACAACTATTTCAGCCAGGGGCATCTTCATCGTCGGTGCAACCATCGCAAACGTTTTCACAGCCACCACCACAGAGAATGGTGCAGCAATATGTGCCGCCGTCGCAACCAATGTCAATGCAGCCGATATTGCCGCAATCAACAAAAATGCAACGAATGCCGTCGCAGTCAATGCCGATCCAAACAATGTCACCGCAGCCAATGTCCACCCAACAAATGTCACCGCAGCCAATGTCCACCCAACAAATGTCACCGCAGTCAATCCCCATGCAACAAATATCACCACAGTCAATGCCCATGCAATCATCGCATTCAGCAGTACCGGTATGTCAAATATCACCGCAGCCAATACCAATTCAGGTAATTCCATCGCAGACAGTTCCACAACTGTCGGTTCCAATGCAGCAAATGCCACCACGAATGCTACTACCATCGATGCGACCGTCGTACATGATGCCACTACAGATGCCTCTGCCATACGGAATGCAACCACAGACTTCACGCCCACCGAATCATTCACCACCGAATCATTCACCACCGAATCATTCACCACCGAATCGTTCACCACCGAATCGTAAGACCGGATAAAATACGGAAAGAAATGGCTCCTGGAAAAGTTAAGCGAGACAGTCATAAATATGTAAGAGATAAAAGTAATTATATACTATTTTTATTATGAAAGTATTGAATGTGAAAAAGTTTTTGAGCTAGAATTGAACCATAAAATAAGTTAGCACAAAGAAGTTTCTGAGATAAAATAGAGGAAGGATTAAAGCTTGAGACAAAAAATTTTCTAAATGAAAATTTTTTAAATTAAAATGGATTATAGATTAAAATAAAAATTTCTAAATCAAAAACTTTCAAATTAAAACGAAACAACAATCGAACTAATATGGAGTAAAATGAAATTTAATTCCATTATATGTATGGAAGTTCTAAATTTTCTTTATGAAAAGGATTTCTGTACCGTGCTTGATCTTTTTTTGTTTCTAACATATATTTACATTGTCTTGAAAAGCCTTTTGTGGCTTTCTTTTTTTGAGAGTACTTCTTGCTAATGAAAGCATTTTATTTTATTTTTTTTTTTTTGAGAGTTTATGCTTATCGCTTATGGAAGCGTTCTTTTTTTTTTGACAATTTATGCTTATTGCTTATGGAAGCGTTTTTTTTTTTTTGACAGTTTATGCTTATCGCTTATGGAAGCGTTCTTTTTTTTTGAGAGTTTATGCTTATTGCTTATGAAAGCATTTTTGTCCAATAGACTGCTCGCTATGCAAACTGTGCTACAATGTCAACTGTTCCGGAGCCTTGTTTTTAAAATAAAGTTTTGTTTTTATTCGTGTTCAAATACACTCAATTCTCACATTGTAAAGACGCTAATGTCTCCATCACCATTGACTGTAATGGAGGAAGTGCTATTAAATGAAATAAAAAGTTTAGGATTTTTGGAAAAGTTCGACGAAAATAGCAGGCTTGATCATACCCGAAGCGTACTATATGTCTATTCGTGGTATTTAAATGAATTAATATCAAGAATAATATGAAAAATTTATTAAGTAGTCATTGAATACAGTAAACAACAGCAAAATTAATTGTAATCGATATACATATGAAAATAGCCGTTGGCTTTCAAACAGATCAAAGAATGGCTTTGAATAGGACATAAACGTGAATAGAACTATAAGACGTGAGTTGTAACAGATCTCGATATAACTGCCAAATTGTTCTTACGCATCATGCGGTCTCGAAAGAAATGGAAGGTCGGAAACACTCATCCCTACATACGTTTAATTCGTAAAAATGGTTATGGAAATCAAAAATGTTTCTATTCGTTTTCGTCTCGAGGAAATCCCATATAATTATTGATTCAACTGTTGACAGAATTATTTTACTCCTAAAAGTTTCACCTCAAAATAATTGCATTTACTACTTATTCATTTGAAATTAATGAGCTTTATAGATGAATAATTAGTGTATTTTTGTGTCATTATTTAAACTAAGCATAAATTATTGTCTAAATTTCACCAACTAGCGCAAATAAAAAAAAATTAGATAAAATTTTACTCAAGACTAATGTACAAATATTTCGATTCCTCAATCATTTCATTTGAAATTACAGTAAGATATAATTACAGTAAAATATACTATATCCTGTAATTTTAAAAGTCTTAAAAATTTTAGTGATCTTATTAAATTATATAAGGTAGGATTTATTATATGAAATGAGAATTGTGTTCAGTCAAAATTATCTTTTGCCATTTAGAGTTTGAATTTTGTTTTTTAGACTTCAAAAAAATCATAGTCATTTTATACTTATTTCATTAGATTTTTTCGAAGAAATTATACCAATACATGTGAATACAATGGTATGGATAATCTTGATTAATCGGCCATGATGAATATATATCCGATTCCGGTTCTGTCAAAATTTTGTTCTTTATGATTGTTAGTAAAAAAATTTTTACTACTGAAAGGATTATATTTCATTTACTGAATACGGTATAATGCATAATATATACCTATATATGATGCTGAAAATTTTAAC